AATGGTGAATGGAACAACCCACCCCCATTAAGACCCCTTCCTCAGAGCACAATCCACCTTTGGCTGGAGGAACAGAGACTTTATATGACTGAAATATGTTTCTAATCCCTTATTGTTATAAAACTGTTATATACAACTGGTTTTCCAGGGTCCAGAATCATGGCATACCAACTGGAGGAGATATCCCAGAGAAGCACAATGCAATGCCTAGTCCCTTATCACCATGTACGAAAGAATGGAACACATTTATCATTCTGCCTGATTTCAGTCCAAGAAAAAGCTATAGGTGAGAAATTTCATGTGTTGTCTGTGCATTCAGTATTTCATGCATGCATTCCCAGCCTGGAACACACATGCATGGGTCCTTCTGGAACAAGGCCATCCAATTCGTACTTGTCCCAGGCCCTACAATACCTCTGGGTTGCCCTCCAAAGCTGACCACTGGGCGATGCTGAAGGCATCCCTTGTCTTGGGTGCTGTTTACAATAGAACCGGACCTGTCTGCAAATGTCATTGCACTCCAATTCCCAAATACCTCTAATCATAGCTAATGGTCATGGACCCCTGAGGCTGTAGTCTAATAATATCTGGTGACCCAGGTTTGCAAACCACTGCCTCTGAAGGGCCGGGAGAGATGGTAGAGGGACTAAAAGGAGAAAATCTGAACAATGGAAAAATGCCTTCATAGGAATGATTGATTTCAGGCAACATATCTAAAATCAATTTATGAGCATGACCTGCCTTACAGGTCATGCTCATAAAGCTTACACAAAGCATTAGCCATAAAGACAGATGAGTTAAGAGTATCTAAAATAACAGATCAGAACACAGGTGTCTCTCCAAAATCAGCTTTCCACAAAAGAGAAGAGGAGTAGAAGGTGAGAAGCTCTACATTCTCTGTTGGCTACACAAATCTTAAACCTCATTTAAAAATAAAGAAGACGTGAAAGAGGGGAATGAAGATGAAACAGACAATGCATTTAATATTAATAATCTATGAGCTCAGTGAATGCTTTATTTTGCCCATCAGCAGAATAAAGAAAAAGTAATTAACTTTTTCACACTGTTACAAACCCTAGGAAAGAAACAGATAATTAAAATCTACCTTTTAGAGAAAAAAGTGGAATGACCACCTCAACTATTTCCACTAATACAATTAATTTAAAATATCCCAAAGTCTTCATTAAAATGAGAAAGCATTGACCTTGGGCAATGTCTCACCCTCCTAGTTCCACTCATATCAGTCTCAGCAAATCCACAGTATTTAATACAGCCTGTGAGGAAGCCATTAGTTAAACACAGACTTCTTGCACCAAATCAAAGCATGATTGTGACGACTGGCAGTGTTAAGTGCAAGCTAGCTTTTGAGCTTGGCACCAGGCAGTCAGCCAGTTAGGCAAGCAGAGATGGGCAGTGTGAGAGCAGCTGAGACTCCATTGACCAACCTATGGTAAAGAAATGGACCACAGTTGGTAGCTTTGAAATACAGTAATAGGTGGAATGCTGCTAGTCCACTTGCTTGGTGACAATGACAGCGGTGGCTGTGATAGTAGGAAACTTCAGCACTGTGGTTCTGCAAAGAGTAAAAGCTTGGCTCCTACTGTCACAATTAGCACTTTGAGTGCCCTCCAGTGCTTCAAACACGTTGCTGTCATTTGCTATCAAGTTGTTTCTGACTTATGATGATCCTATCAATCAATCATCTCCATCATGCCCTGTTGTTCACAACTATGCTCAAATTTTGCAAACTAATGGCCCACAGCTTCCTTGAGTGACTTAACCCATGCCACACCCAGTCTTTCTCTTTTCATACTGCATTCACGTCTCCTAGCATTATTGTCTGTTTTTCAGAAAGGCTTGTCCAGATTACAACAGCCTCATGCCCGTGACTCACATACAGTTTATTTTTTTAAAAAACTGCAAAACTATGACAGAACCAACATTGGCACTACCTCTGTGCAGCTGACTGAACATTCCTCATGCTCTGATAAATGAGAAAAAATAGACAAGAAAATTTCATAGTATGGCCCAGTATCATGGAGGTATCACGTTTCAGTTCTCTCTCTCTGTTTCTCCCAAACCATGCACAGTGACAGTAAGTTTTATTTGCATCACAATAAAGGATGCACAGATACAGATAGACAGACAGACAGACAGACAGACAGACAGACAGACAGACAGACAGACAGACAGACAGACAGACAGACAGACAGACAGATAGATAATGTCTTTTCAGAACTTTCACAGAGCTTCTGTACACAAAACTGAATATCCCAAGTCTTTGAAACTTAACATGAAATTCCTTTCAAGAAACTGTTGGAAATGTAATGGTTATTAACAGGCTGAGCTCCAGAGTTTTAGGGGGACTCTGGCCAGATGTCCTTGGGTGGGTCATCCTCTAGATGCTGCTATCTGCTGTGTTGGTTCTACCCACTCCAACACAAAGATTGAGATAAGAGGTGGCAGTGACAATTCCTGCCCTTTCTAGTGCTCATTCTCATCCTGGGAAGCTCTGTCAACATCATCTCAGACAGTGTGCTCAGAACACACTTATGATGAGACCTATGGTGAGACTTAAGGTGGGGAGAAGGGTACCAGGGGCGGGGTGGGATTTCTATTGATGCACATAATGCACATTGACTGGTGCCTTTTTCCATGACTAATGTGCAGGCATCAGCAGCAAGCAGCCTCATGACAACTAAGTGGTAATGGGTCAGGGACACCCTGGAAGTGTGTTGGCATTGTCACACAGCCTTTTATTTCTAGAACTATGATACTATGAACTCTGCCACCAAATGAGCATAGGATAGACATTAAGTGTTAGTTGCCAACTGCGTAAGGTAGCAAAAACTGCTGTGTTAAAAGTGAAAAGAAATGCCTTAAAACAGCAGCACCACAACAAAAGCAAATCTCTGTTTGAAACAGATGGAAAGTCAATCCTGTCCAGCTAATCAAGTGCCCTGAGGTCACACAGTAAGCCAGCAGAAGGGAGAGTGAAAGAATGTCCTTCTAACGTTTCAGTAATTTAGAACACACAAACCCAATATATCTGTCCATCAACTTGCTAAACAAACCCCCAATCCCAGACGATTTCCTCCCCCCACCCACAGCCAAGCAGAGACATGTCTGTTTCCAAGAAAGGTCAAATGGGGAGGTGTGTGCACGCATGGCCCATGCCTCTTTGTATAAAGAACTGAGGTGTGATATCCAATCCACAGTTGCCTCAGCTGTAACTTTAAAACAACAGCCCTAATGCAACCTCCAGCTTTCCTGCCTTACATCTAAGAAAGATTTGCTTAGCGAAATCCATCTTTCCAAGAGCTTTTGGATTTTACATTTAAGAGAAACTTTCCTGCCAGCGTTTGTCCGAAGACAGTTTCTGTTGTCACATGGCCAGTGCGGCTATACATGGAACACTGTTTACCTTCCCACCGAGGTGGTACCTATTTATCTACTCGCGTTTACATGCTTTCGAACTGATAGGTTGGCGAGGAGCTGGGACAAAGCGACGGAAGCTCACTCCATCGCGTGGATTCGATCTTACAACTGCTTGTCTTCTGACTCTGCAGCACACAAAGGCTTCTGCAGTTTAGCCCACAGCGCCACCACATCCCACATTTTTAGTGGTCTACAATTTTTAGTGGTCTACAATTGTTTTAGTGGTCTACAATTCTTGCATTTCTAAACACATACTCACACTGCAATTTTTAAAAGCATAAATTCTTTTCAAACACTAAGTTACGGACTCCAGACAACTGAGGATGGATAAATCTATCTGTCACTATAAAGCATTCAGCCTATAGGCATATAAACAGAGACAATGGTTGCAACCACTCTCTTACCTCACTCCTCCCTTCCTAGATAGGACTGGAAGCCTAGATGTGGGGATGAGTCAAAACTACATTTACTTATTAGTGTACATGCAAACTCTCTCCCAAATCATGATCTCCCCCCTTGTGTTGCTGGAAATACCCCTGCCCATAGAGGACACTGTCCATAACTTGCCCTACAAAGGAATGGGGGAGAGGGTTAACTGTATCTGTTTTCTTCTTCTCATCAGTCATCTCAGGAAAGAACGATGAGCTCCTTTCACCTCTGGAGTAACTCGGAAAATACTGATTTCCTTCCTTTCCTCCACCTACCAAAAGAACATTTTAGGCAGTAGGAAAGTGAGGGATAAAGGAGAAGGTGAGAAGAAAAGACTCCCCATCATTCAGTCCCATCTAACCCCAGGAATTTAACTGCATCCCACATTAGTTTAAAGTTATTCAGAATTGTCCACTGAAGAATTCTCCCTTTATATTAACGTAACATAGGAATGACCACTAAGGATGATGCTATTAGTTCAAAAGGACCACCTTTGAGTTAAAGGACTAACTCAACAAATGGCAAGGAAGTTGGAATTCAGACTTTTGCAAGGCAACACACGTTACATTCACAACTGATTCACAATATGTACATTTTGTATCTGTACCCAGATACAGGGAGTATTTTAAGAAGGGCCCTCAGAACAGGGATGTGTTATGTAATGATCTTTGTCCAAGCAATGAAAATCAACTAATTAGTGAGCTGTTTATCAGAAGCGCAGCTATTATGTTAAAAAGATTTTTTTTTAAAAAAGCGGGTTAAACTGGAAGCAACCAAACATATGCCAATTCCAGTCCACTGCTACCAAAGGAACTAATTCAAGAGAACAGAAAACTTTTACTTAGTTTTCCTTAGTATTCATATGGTACTTCATTAGTTTACACTCTTGAATTCAACACTTGATTCTGTTTAATAAAAAGTGTTAGAAGATTCTCATGGGATTACAAAAGTGCAGAACATTAAAAAATCACTAATTTCAATGCCTTGGTGACACTGTTATAGAGAGACAATAAATAATTAGGTTCTTACTGCAGCTTCAATTCATCTTTTGGCAGAGATTCGAAAGTGAGATTGTTCTCTCTACCAGTCTAATCAACCAAGCAATGAGGAACAGATCCTGAGTATCACCTTACCGGAATTTCAAAAGTTTCTTGCGTATCATCCAGCATCTGGATTTTTATAGAAACAAGTTTTCCTGTAGGTGTTGTGGGCAGTTTTTGTCCATGTTCCAAAGTACTGATCCCAGCATTCTCCTGAGCTCCTAACCGGGATCCCGCAGTCGGCCTCTGCTCCACTTCACCCATCTTTGGAGAAGCAAACTCCTATTTCTGACAGAGGGATAAAGAAAACATGAGGTGTATTACTTAAAACTGTTAAGAGTCATCAAGGTATACAGGAATTTTTACACTGGCATCATGGCGCACTTCTGAACACTACTAACAGCAAAGCATTCCTCCAGATATTGCTGGAAGGCAGCTCCCACCAGTCCTGCTCACTGGCTGTGCTGGAAGTTGAATTCCACACTGCGTTTTGGAGGACAAGTTCCCCTCCCCATTCTGCAGCAGGTAACAGAGGCACATGTCCTCTTAAAGGAACCTCACGTCCTAAATATCTTTGCATTTCATAATGCTGTCTGAACTTGATATTTTATTGCTGAATCCTCTGTATGTTTACTTGGAAGTGAAGTCCCACTCTCTTCATGAGGGCTTGCTTCCCATTTGCAGTAAGTGTGTTCAGGATTGCAGCTTTTATTTCTTTTAAACACAATTAGCCAAATATGGCATCTTCTAACATTAGGTAACATTGTTATCTGGTGAAAAAGCAGAACTAAGCTAAAGCAATTCTGCTTACTTTACTCCAAATGAATTAGGGCTACAGCTCAAAACCTGTCCAGTCAAGCTGGCTCAGTATTTCTGATGTAACGTGTACCAAAGCAAAGTGACAACTGTATCCCCCATGCTGCAAAGCACCAAAAGTGTTCCAGTCCGCGTACATTAGTTATAAATGTATCTAAATAAGTAAATATATTTATTTCCATGATGCTACGAATTAGAACTTTTTAAGCAACAGCAGGCTAACAAGATGTTCGGTAAGCTGGACCCACATTGAGCTTGGTTATAACAAGAATCAAACCAGTTATAGGCACTATAGTTAATTCAGAAGAACTAAGATAGTCATCAAAATCAGTGAAGATTTGTCTTTTTCATGCAATCTTATGACATATGAGAAATGGGAGAATAAAGAGCATTCTAAAAGAAAGATGATTTTTGGAAAAAAGTTCTCCTTTTTGCCGTTTTGCCTAAGTAATCCAAAAAAATAAATAAATAAATTCATACTTCAAAGCAAGCCACAGTCATAAAAATAATCATAAAATGAAATTACAAAATAATTCATCCTCCAATTACTGAGCAACCTCTTCTCCCCCCCCCCCGGAAAAATAAGTTATTAAGGAAGCCTAACACATCACAATTTTCATTAATTTTCTTGTTTTACTAGGCTGATTTGTCAAACCATTCCATAATTTTTCTCTCTCCCTTCTTTCCTTTTGTTGCTTTGACAACCTGAGTTTCAAACCAAACCTGCTGCTAACATCTATTTGGGTAATTGCCTTTCCATTCCCCTCCCCCACCTTTTAATCTCTGATCAACTATCATTAGGAAGCATGCAACAAAACAGGAAAAACAGGAATATAACTTTTTGGCTGAACAAACATAGAGTTGATAATACATACAGTTGCTCCATTAATTCTGAAACAAGGTCATGCCCCTTAAAGAGGATTCTAGAATTTTGTGCTGCTCAGGACTTCATATGACCATATTAAATTTAAAACTCCGCAGCATATGGCTGGACAGTGAGGGCCTGGAAAGAATGCACTGTTGACCCAGAACATGTATCCCACTCCTGGAATGCAAATTATCACTAACTAATCTCCAAACTCAGTATAGTCTATAATTTTTAAGATTACAAGTACATTGTAGACCGGCCTTTTACAAACTGTCTTCAAAACTATGCAGCTGCACAGAAAACAGGAAAACTGTAATAGACAGACGGAGCCTTCTCGAAGTTTAGCAAGAATTTGTCACAGAGTAAATAATGGTTAATAAGTTGCCATGATAGATTGGTCATTTAATACCACAGATTTTTTAACAAGTGGAGCCACTTGGAAGTGCTGGGCTGTTGTAAGTTGCAACACTGATTTGTATAGGTTAATAACAAGGCTTGTTCACAAGGACAGTGGATTTGCTTTACGCCTCAAAATTCAGAATCTTCCGCAGTAATGATCCTTGGTAGTTACAATAATATGTAAAGAATTATACAAAAAAACTAGAGTAGACCATCACCTCCACCACCACTTGCTTTCATAGGTCTACAAACATGCAGACCAATTCACATGACACATACTCCCATTCCCCTTCCAAGATTTCCTACACTTTGCAGGTAGGACTTCCATACTGAGCCTTGAGTAGAGATATTTTGAGCAAAGATGCTACAAAACAGAGGATGGTTTCCTGAAAATTCCTCAACATGAGATCTAAGGGATCCTTTCTCCCCTTCCCCTGATTCTTCAAAGCTCAGTGTAACATTGGCACACTACCACACACATGCAACGTGCTAGAAAAGCACACAGATGCACCACAGAGACCTTCCCCTTCAAAAGAGCAGCACAGATGGTGGCAAGTTCCAGGTTTTGCCTGGTTATCATCATGAAGCTGTTCATGCCTTGTGTAGTCCTAGAAATTAGGTGTAGCCAAGGTTGTGGAACACATACTGTCCTTCACAGACAAAAGTTTGGACCTCAGTGAGTTAAAGTTGCACAACTCCCCCACAAACCATTTCTTCCATTATTACAAAATATTTCTACTTTGAAAAGTAAAGTACCTGTACATTTTGTATCATTACAAACAAAGCTAACTAAGAACTGTATTCTAGTTATTATTGTGTTCTGCTTAATTAACAACACTACAGGCAAGCAATCTCTGCATCACAGGAGTCAAATTGCGGCTCCTAGACCCCATCAACGGACTCCAAAAATCCACATTTTTGCCATTATTATTTTTTTTTAAGTTTCTGGATAGACACTTCCAGCTTGTTTTTTTCAAGGCTGTGCGAACTTGCAATGTATGCTGTCAAGCTGGAACCAACTTATAGCCACATTAATAAGGCTTTCAAGGTAAGTGAGATTTTTAAGGAGTGGTTTGAGTTTCCATGGCTGAGAGGGGTTTGAACTAAAGTCTCCTGAGTTCAAGTCTGTCACTCCATCAACTACATTATGCTGGGTAGGCTGCCAAAGTGAAATATTGTGCTTCTTCCAAATGTTTTACCATTTTAAAAAGTTCTGCATCTTAAAAACTTAGTGAGCCAGTGAGGAAGGTTTGGGGTAGCTGCAAAAATGCCCATGGAAGTCACTTGAGGCCTGTGGGCTTCACAAAGGCCACTCCTGAACTACACAGTCAATATTTTTTAAAGAAGTTTCAAAGAAATGTTATGAAATCACAGAGGGCAGTTCTAAAAATGCCAAAAACCAGGAGTCAACATAAGGTCTACAGATCACATGCAGCCCCAAATGGGCCCCCACTATCCCTGGACGTCCCAGAACATTGCAGAACCCCATTTTTTAATTTCCCCCTCAGAAAGTCTCTTTTGTGCCTCTGGGGGAATAGAAGACGATTCAGAGGAGCAGCAGAAGACCTCTGGGATCAGTAATGGGAATATGCAGCCCCTCAACTTCTATCCTAACCCAAGAGGTGTGATGATGAACAGCAGTCCCTGAGAACCACCTTCTGAGAGAATGCAGTCAAAATGGTGCCTCCAGCCTCATGTCAGCCAAATGGCTCGGAAGAATACCATTACTGATGGTATCAAATGTTATTGGGGGGACCAAAAGAACTAACAGAAATGCATTCCGTTTGTCATGTAGGTAATCTGATTTTTCTTTCCTATTCAAAAGCCAGATGGAAGAGATTCAAGTGGTCATTTTTATCCAAGAAAACCTGGATATGAAATTCAAATAAATTTCTGTCTTGACATTTAAGAAAATGTACTAATATTCAAGGGTACCAAATAAATACTTGTTTTAGTGGGGCAGTGAATAAAACAGATACTGAAAGAATGGTACACTCAGCGACCTCGTGTTATATAATCCAGAAAACTCTCTGATCCAGATGGCTTGAAATTCAGCAGCCAGAAAATGCTGTTTCTCCCCGCCCCGCCCCCCCATTGTACAGCAGTAGTTTATCAGAAGAAGGCTACAAATACAGGGCTTTCGTCTCCAGAGGCAAGTAAGCAGGTGAAGTGTAAGATCTTGTAGTTACTGATCTTGCTTGATCCTGGAAGATTAAACCCTCTTTAATGTCTGGTTAATTATTAATTATTGGCTAGATCAATAATTGAGTAACTGAATAAAAGACCTAGGGGATCCCTGGCTTCAGCTATTCTCTTCTACCTTCCAAGAAAAGTGTAGATGACACAAAAGGTGCTCCCATGGTCATACCAAATCTATGTACAGCACAATCTAAAGCAGAGTGAAAACAACAACAACACCGGAACATAGAGTCTAGGATTCAGGGAATCAACAATTTATGAATAAATGAAGAGAACAAATGTCAAGAAATGGAAGGAATGATAGGTCAATGGAAGACGGGAGTGTGAAATTATTTTACTTAGAGCCCTCTGCTGTTGGTCAGAATCATAATCCATGGGAAGGAAGAGAGACGTATTCTGTCAGCCCCCAGTTTTAACTCCTCTCCCAATTCCTTCCACTGCAAGGAGTAGCTACCACTAGTAAAATTCAAATATATATTATTTCATTTTGTACTATTGGTTACCTCCCATACACAGAGATGGGAAGATATGACACAATTTGGAAACACAGAGGAGCGAATTATTAAACCTACCCATCCACTCTCCCTGTGAACTTTGTTCTCAATTCTGGGGATGGGTGGGGGAGG